CGTCAGAATGAGTCGCAGAAAATTCTGCAGAAATATCCAGAGAGGATCCCAGTGATCGCAGAGAAGTGAGATACCTCATCAAAGACTGAATGACCATGCTTGTTCAGGCATGACAGAAGTGAGCTGCCGGATATTGAAAAACAGAAGTTTTTGGTTCCGGGAAACATGCTCTGCGGTGAATTCAAGTACATAGTACATAAGAGTATCTTTAGGCCTGATACGGTTGATGCGCATTCGGAAGAAAACGGCAGAGGTGAGGGAAGCGCCTTGGAAACACTTCGTTTTTGTTTGTTATTCAGATGCGGCAATTAAACACTCGTCTAACGAGACTATTTACCTTTTTGTTGGGAAGAACGTCGTGCCCAAAACCGGTAAGAGCGACTCAATTTCGCGATCGATACGGGGGCGTTTTAGGGGATACTATGAACGAATTATATGAGAAGTTCAAAGATGAGGATGGTTTTCTGTAAGTTAAAGTCTGTGGTTCGATGAAGGGGAGTTGCCTCTTGTGGGAAGGTATGTCACGTACAGCAGCGAGAATACGTTGGGGCAGTGGTAGCAGTTGCGATGTGCATGACGGCTATTAAGTGGATGATTAGTGAATAGTCCAGTACGATATATTTTTATGATCAACAATTGTCTTGAATTGGCAGTCGCGTAGTGGCACGTGAATATTCGTAGGGGCCGGGAAAAATGAAAATGAGAGACGCATTTTTTACTCGCCCGACAGCTTGGTTTACCGCCGGATCGATCTCGAGTTCGCGTATAACCGGGGTAAAAGTTTTGTACCCACCGCCACTATGCGTACGTTCACTCAAGAATTATAAGAAATGTATATCGTTGAGTCTTGAGCCACTTAGGCTTATCTACTCTGGCAGGATTATGCGGTTTCTGATATCCTTGCCCGAAGCATAGGACAAACAGGATCAAAAGTAGAAGGCAGATTTGAGGCAGTGACAACGCGAGAGCTTTCATGATGAAACATTACTCAGTGTGAACAAACTGTAAAGGAGTCTGGTATTTTTCATCCACAGGGATAACAAGGCCGTCGAAAGAGGCTAAATAGGCGTCATTCCAGAACTTCGACAAGTGCCGCATGCCACTGTCACACACAATCGTCACCACTCGTTGGCCCGGCTTGATGTAGCCACGCTTGTATCTGCGTAACACCATGACCAGCCGTGCATATAGCAAACGAGGCAAAACGATCGGCTGATGGACATTGGTAGAGGGCGGCACTGAGCCGTTATACCACACGGGTAGATCCGTCGAGCAAATCTCAATGAGCAAGACAATTCTGTTCCAGAATAGTGAGCTCGATATGAACTCCTCCGAGTTCCTCAATGGCTCTACCGACTTACGCTTTAACAACCGCAGCGACATTCAAGCTACCGCTGCTACCAACGAAGAGACCATCCTCGCGAAGGAGCCATCTTGACATACGCACAGCCTCGGTGTCCGAGATGGACACAGCA